CACTGCGAAAAAAAATAAATTCAGATGTGCGCTAGAAAATGTTTTCCTGGAGATTTCATTAAACGATGCCGCATCCGTCGCTCCTAGGTCAGTAAGTGTGGGACCGCAGTTCACATATCAGGAGGAAAACGTTGTGATAATTTAAATAATCGGAGGATTCACAAGAAAATTGACAATATCGCGATAAGAATCAGTAATTTTCTTTATCGACCCATACACAACGCTAGAGTTATGAGTCAAGGTGTATGAGTAGCATGCTAGCAACTTTGCCCCCTCAGTTGTATCGTATACGACTAACACCAAACGAATTTCATTCTCAAGCTTGGATGCAACTATTCGGGCTCCACGGATGTCTGTGTTGCATACTTCCGTATTGAAGGCGTTTTGACTCTCCAGGTACTTGTCGCTTCACTCGTGAAGCGGCGCGGCTGTATGAGCTACACTGCGAGGATCTAATGTGATAGAGCGCCCTCATAATTATTCTTCTTTCTTACTGCGGGGTGATTGTTAAAATTGATAGACAAAGCGATAGACAGAGAAGACATAGGCAGTATGGAGCGATCCTTTTGGTTAAATTGGGTGTTTTCTCTAGACTAATGGAGAAACCGATGGACTAATTGTAGGGTCTCTCGTGGGTTGCCGTTAGTTAGTCTATTACCTATCTCCTTTACCCATTGCAACCATCCACCAATAGGATCCCTTCTTATCCCTTTTGTCTTCTTTGTCTGTAATTTCGTCCATAAAGTTCAACAATTAGCCAGCAGAAAAGACACAAGCGGATCCAAAAAGGGGCGTGCGCCTTCCTTTTAACCCGAAGAAGTAGAAAAAAAAGGGAAAGGAAGATAGGGGGAAGGGATAGAGGAAATAAGAAGGAGAAACGCTTGTACTGGGTATTTATTCATGACGAAATTGACTCTAATTCCTGATGCTGTTTTAGATGCTTTAAAATTTCGAAAAGTTCGGAGAGGCTTCCCGGAACCAGTGGTGTGGCGTGCCTCGCGATATATCGATTGATCTGCCATTTAAACCTATGGAAAAGGATCGATTAACAAGGTTTTTCCAACAAATACTTTAATAATCGATTCTTTACAAAGCTTCAATTGGGGAAATCGATAATCGATAATCGATCATTCACGCCTCCGCACTGCTCAGAATCCCCTTCCACCCCTTCCGTCCGAAATGTCTGGATTCGTCTCCGCACAAAGACCTCTCCTAGACACGAATTGTTGCACACAGGCGTGGGATATGAGTATCTTGTGTGCTTCTTTTTTGATATTCTGATTCATGCTTAAGATATGTTTTCGAATATAGACCAAGGTTTGAAGGTTCTATCCCTTAATTATTCTCGCATTACCGCCCGTCACCGTGCCGAACTGTGCCGCCGCGCCGCGATTGAAGCAGTTAGTGCCCGGAGAGTTAAAACGCCTTCTATTATGTGCATATGCAGCACGGACATCCATGGAGCCCGAATAGTTGCATCCTTGCAGGCGTTTTAATGGAATTCGTTTGGAGTTCTTCGTATGCGACACTGGTAGCGCTATGCTTGTTTCTGTCACGCCCTAATCCGATTTCAGCAGCGCATATTGTGCCGATTAAGTCAATTTTTTTTAAGAATGCATTGACTGTTAAAATTTATCACAACGTCGCGGTTCTAGAAACCGCAAAAAATTAGGTATCTGACCATGCTTTTTCTTCTCTGTGCGAAGCAGATTTTGGAAAAACTTCAAGGAATGATGTTGATTTGTTCTCCTTCAAACAAGAAAAAAAAAGAAGAAAAAAAGGGGGGAAAATCAGGAGCGGAGATTTTTAAACACCATCATCGAGCTACGAGTTTTGGGAATTTTTCCCAGTCCCTCCAGTTTTTGGGAAATGTATCCTAACATTGCGGTCCTATATACGTATTGGCACAAACGACTTCCTGTCAAAATCGCAAATTCGCATTGGAGGTTTTAAGGATTTTGCTTTAAAACGTTAACCTCGGAACATACTCATTTATCTCATTTCGCATGCTATGATTGAATCAATCCGTGATTTTGAAATCCAATCATGGATTTAAGTGCATGATAGTCTGCCTTCAATATTGACAGATAGGCCACAAACCTCCTGAATACAACGGAACATAAACTTTCATCTCAGTTCATGCTTTGATCGAACCCAGTAGACCAGTACATATATGCTGATATGAAAAGGTAAGATCCAGATGGGCCCAATTGCATTGCAATGCGGCGAAGTTTCATAAGACAAATTATTTTTCCATCCATTAAAGGATTTTCGTTTTGCACTTAGTATTTCAATTGCCTTACGCACAAGCATGTAGAAAATTCAAAACAAATCAGAGCAAGTTTTCAACCCTTTTTGAGTAGAAATAAATACGTCATCTTATGGTGAAACTTTGCGATTTTCCGATTCAATCAAGCCTTTTAGGCGCTCATCCTTTCATGTGTGAATCAATCCAGAAATGCCGTCCTCTTGAGGATCACCTTTAATTAACTCGATAGGCAACAAAACTATCGGAATAGTGCGAGTAATCTACTCGGAAAATACACAATATACGCTCATCTCGATCTATGGTTTTTATTCAACCCACGAAGGAAGTATAAAACGATTCGTAGATTTCATCCACTGAAAGTTCGCCTTCATTTTTTAGGGTAGGCCACAAATCTAATATGGAGCACTAAGATGCTGTAATCTTTTCGAAAAGCATGCCGAAGGCTTCAGTCGAAAATAGACAGGAATCTCCAATGATAGGTTAATAAATCTCCGATATTTTGTGTTATACTATGTGTTGACAGTTAAATAATGAAACAATTTCCTTGCAATTTTCGGTGCATATTATAAAATCATTAAATAAAATTCAGAGAAAATGACAAGAAAAACTGTTGGTCCGATAGCAGAGGAGACGGCAATAGCATTTGCTGCACTTTTGCACGTAAGAACCTTCCAACATTGCCAGATTTCATCAGATAAAAACCAGTGGGAGAAGATCACATTTTAAGGGGATTAAAATGTATTAAAAACAACACCATTTTTTTTCTCATCAGGACATTTATTGAATTCAATTGTTATTACAGAATGACAGGTTTAGCTGGAGCAATCGATAGGTAAAACACTGGAATGCGAATACGCTTGAGATAAGTTTCTTCTATTAATGCAGACTCTTATAAAAAAATAAAAGTGATTTTTGGTCATACACGTTTCAGGTAAAAAAATATAAAATACATCCTATATTTTTCATCATGCTCCCACACCACAGGACAGGTCCCATGCCTTACTCCGTCAGATTTTCCTTTTCAAGTGACATTTATTTTTATAATTATTTTTAATTTTATTTTTTAAATGTTGACCCTTAGGCAAGAAGTAGATCTCAAATAAGTCCTAAATTGACAAAATTAATGAGGCATGCATATTAATTGTTCTCAGGAAAAGAGGAGAGGGATGGAAAGTATGAAACTATTGATGAATTCAATTGTTGTGCATTTACTCCGTGAGATTTTCTGAGTAATAAGTAATGTTTTATTGGAAGGAAAAAATTTAAAAATTGCAATCTAAAGTATTGATGGGGATGTAGTTGAGATCAATTCTAATTTTTGTTTGACAAATCAATAAAAAAGCTTAATGACTCTAGAAAGAGTGGTATCCTTAGATTATCTTAGAGTCGCTTTATTCACATCAAGCAGCATGACATCTCAGTACTGAATGGAAAATGCTACGATAGACAAACAAATTACAGCAGAGTATATCCTCGGGTGAAAGCTTCTTATTAAGTTAAGTTTCTTACTGAAGGTAAANAAACAAAAAGTTAGGAACAGTCCAAAAGAAGTATGAAAAACCCCGCGCTAACAATAAAAATCAGAGGAAGAAGCCCCATCTCGGCAAGTAAAGGCCCAAAGTTTGAAACCAAAGCTGAGCATCAAAGATAGAGAGAAAAAAAATTTCCGGCGGCCGAGGGCCCCCTAGACGAATGGGCCCCCCTGCATAGCAGGGTCTGCGGGGGCGCCCGTTACGCCACTGACTCTAGAAAGAGTGGTATCATTAGATTATCTTAGAGTCGCTTTATTCACATCAAGCAGCATGACATCTCAGTACTGAATGGAAAATGCTACGATAGACAAACAAATTACAGCAGAGTATATCCTCGGGTGAAAGCTTCTTATTAAGTTAAGTTTCTTACTGAAGGTAAAAAACTTAAGTTATTACTGGGAAAGGACCACTACTTTTTGACATATCAACAAAATAATTACAAAATTTTGCTACATAACAAAAGTGTTACCTTTCACCTGATCGTAAATTAATGCCTCTTTCAAGCTACAAAATCTATAAAAACTGTGTGTCCCTCGCTCTAGTTTGATTTTGAAATCTTTGACCTCAAAATTTGTTCATAATCATATTATTAGGACAAGCACTAACTTCGTGTGGATCCAGTTTTCCTTTTCAGAAATTGTGCCGAATAGAGAGATGTCTGGCAATAACCAAAATAATGCTTTGATTCACCTTACCACTGCCAAAAAATGTTTGTACAATGATTTTTGGAATCACAACTGCATAATGTTTCCGAAATAAAACCTGCCCATAATTTTGAAAAAAGTGGCGGTGAATTTAATCTGAATGGGTAAACCATAGAATAACACAGATCTGCATCTAAAAACTCGCTGTAGATTAAGTAATTAAATCTTACATGATTTCTAGTACGGAGTCTAAAAATGACCTTAATATTTCCCTAAACCCACCGATATCTCAGAAAATGATATTTTTTTAATGGACGAGCTTTTCCAGAAAGCTTAAATTTTCCCGGTAATGGATAGGCAAAACTGAATTCATATTCAGACACAGCACTAGAAATTGCATTAAAACTAACAATCATATCCCCAGAATTTTTTATACAGAAATATGACTCGGACCTGTGTACTCAAATTTAAAGAAATTGGTTTTTGAGCATTTGTAAAGGATTCATAATTTTGAGTCTACCGATACCAAATCAAAGGAGAAAAATCCTATAAAAAATATGAAATGAACAAATGTGTAAAGAAGTGCATAAAAAAAGAAGATCAATTTCGGAAACACAAGTAAATGGGGATCAACAACAATAACAAAGATAATGTTATAACAATCTATAAACAACATATTATCTACCTACATTATAAAAATAATTGATCTGTTGCAGCTAGGGATCAAAATTATTTGAGCTGAATGATATTAAGGGTACAATAGAAACAAAATGCATTTATTAAACGAAAGTAATACCCAAACAGGGATTTTCAAGTCTTAGCACCAGTGTATCTCTTTTTTGGTAGGTTGGATAAAAAGTGAATTTATTTTTGAGTTCAAGTAGGTAAAGATTTTGTATCCGACTTTTTTAGGTGGTGCATTTGAAGGCCGATTTATCATTGTAACTGAACAGAGGTTTTTGCAACTTATCTGCAAGGAATATTCTCTTAAAACTTCATGCAGCGATTCTAAGTTTTGTTCTCTTCAGAAATTAAACGCATGAGCAAATATTAAGAGTGAAAACACCCCAGCCTTGATACAGACTTTTCAGAATCACTTTTGTTAGGTACAAGCATTTGAATAACAGTGCGATGATCACGAGCTGATATTCCAGGAAGCTACAGGAAGAATAAACGGGTATGGCAAGTTATGGTCATGTTCAAAAACTCATTTGATAACGAATATTAATTACATGGTGTTTTCATTTGATTAGATACCAACATGAAGGATTAATTAGATTATTATGTTGAAATTTTATTTAGTCAGTTTTGCATGGGGACCCTCTCCAATGGTGCCCCAGTAATTTTATCTCTCATCTTTCCGCGTCAAAATAATTTGGAAAAGAATTTCAATGTGGTCTCACATCCCACCCGAGAAGGCCAAAAAGTTACGAAAACGTTGCAGTGGCCCTTCTTTAGGCGTCAATATTGGGACAACCTTTTTGCAACCCTTTCTGCGATCACTTGCCGGGCAGGATATTTCTTTGAATTTTATTATAATAATTTAACATTATAAAGTAAATAACATGGTTATACCTACGATCCCTAGCCATCTCAAACCTTTACAATTAGATTGCCTTATAACTAGAGCATTTCCACAATGAGATTTTATTTATGTCTCCTTTAAAAGGAGCTCTTTTTGTTGAAAAATAAAGTATTAGTAAAAAATAGGTAAAGAACTTAACTGCTAAATTCATACGGCGCCGGAGCATTGTTGCTGAAAGATATGTGATATTATTATTTGCAAAACATTGCTTCTTCAACAACACTAACGGATGTCAATCATAGGTGATGTTCGTCGGCGCAACTTCCAGTAATAGTTGACAAAAAACGGTGAATTTCTCTGTAAAAAAACGTGTAGAAAAAATTTATAATGCCTCAAGTCTAATTTGAAATGAAGTTTAAAAGTGCTATAAATGAGGAGATTTAAGAGAAAAGAGGTCTCACATCCAACGTTAAAAGAGGGTCTGAAAGATTCTCATGAAACTGAGCTAAGATATTCTATTGGACAGCCGAGTTCAAGAGTAAAACAAGAAAAAACCCTTTTCGGTTGCTAATTAGATTAAAAAGACTTCTTTCGAATTTCAACAAATTTGGCTGAAGACACTGGGGAAAATTTCCTCTTCAATAATTTGATTGGCAAAAATATCTATCGGTTAAGATTACTCTTGGCTCCCGTAATTTTCTGCAGCGTGCTTGCAGCGTGTGCAGAATTCATATTATTCTACAAGAGTTGAAAACCGAATAAGTAGCACTTATTTTATTTTATTTTATTTTATTTTTTTTTGGGGGGGGCGAGAGGGGGACTCTCAGCCTCCTCTTTATGTCGAGAACAATTTGCACCCTAGTTGTTCCTAAAAAAATAAAGGTTTTCACAGTGAAAATAGTTTTCAACTCACCCATGCATTTGCAGTTGACCTTGTAGTGAACAAATGGAACGTAGACTAGAAGGCCTGCAAAGATGAAAAATGATGCATACAGGTACTCGATCTGCGGAGAGTCGATAATAGGAGCTACTATTAAATACAGAGAAATCAAAAGCACCGCCCATGGTATGATAATTGGAACCTGGAAGTAAAAATAAACGCTGTTAATGATTAGTTGCGAAATTGTAGTCACATGACTTTATTATTTATCAGTTTTCTTCTAATCTGTCTTTGTTTTAATTTAATTCAAATCTAGAAAACATAATACCAAAGTAGGGCTGTGAAATATTTGGGCACGATCGGATTATTTTTAGGGGGTGCGGAACTGCGTACCCGAACCCTTTTACACCCCCTTTACACGAACCAAAATCCGAGACCGACAATTTTTTTCTGAATCACCTCACTGTACTAAGAAGCCACGGCATCTCACAGTTTTCCGCGGAGTAATACCCTCCGATTTTTTTTGTTATGTAAGCAAGAAACTCATTACTGGAGTGTTCAATGCGTTAATCCAGGATTGCGAGAAAGGTCTAAGAAAATATATGAGGATTGCGCGAATACCGTAACATCTGCTACAGGAATGCGCGAATTTAAAATAAAGTTAATTTAGGGTAGAAGTTTGGCAAGACAGGAACCATTTGGAAAATAAACGCATATTTATGTTGACGCTAGCTTAGGTTAGTTTGTTGAAGAGTCATCGATGTCATACCCTCTGATGATAAATGAAGCGAAAAGATTAAATAAATAATAATCGTGGGTATGAAGAACTTTACTAACTTTTCTCGGAAGAAATATTTGATCGGGAAAAACGAGGCAACGTTGGAATGCTTATACAACGTCTTAACACAGCATGGGCCTTTGAGGCTTTATTATTCGATGCCGCCATTATTATTCGAGCGCGAGTTCAATTAATCGCTACAAACACAGTGCGACCGCGGCGCGGCGTTAAGCATATATTAGCGCCTGCGGGACTGAGGGAATACTTCACGCATTGCGCCAAACAGTGCGGTCGGCATGAGGCCCATATTAGCGCCTACAAGACTGCATGGATACTTCTCGCATTGCGCCAATTGCGGTGCAGTCGATCAGTTGGCGTGAAACGCATATTAGAGGCTACAAGGCTGTGGGAATTCTGTAGAACTGCGTGTTATCATTCTTGACTTTCTACTCCAGTTTTTACCATACTTAGAGGGAAAATATGCTTCCTCATTGTGATGATTCAGAAACTCGGATGATATTTAATTTTTTTTTTTGTTTTCAATCAATTAGCAATTTAAAAATAGAATATTGTGAGAGTGATTACTTTGTAGGGTCTCGGGAAGTTAGGTCTAGTATAGCGCATGACAATAACAGCAAGCATTGAGCCACCGTAAAAAATCCACGCCGTGAAACTGAAGAAGTCGATGAGTGAGTTGATTGTACCCGACATGACCATGGCAATGGCAATAATTGACTGAAACAGATTATAAAATATAATTCACAAACCAAAATCAAGGAAAAAATAAGAAATTTCCGTAATATTTCGTAAGCTTGTAGGACCGCGTGCATTTTACTGAGTCTACAGCTCATATCGACGGTGAAACTACCAAACCACATATCTTGTTTGCGATGTTTAAAAATCTCCTTCCGTTTTATTTTTTTGGCGGAGGCCAAATCAGTGTCATTTCTTGAAATTTTACAGAATTTTCTTCGCACAGAGAAGAAAAATCATGAAATTCTTAACGAATTGACACTGAGTTGTTTACTATTAAAAAAATAAGTATGACACAAAGTTTGCAATATCGCAGCAGAGATACGTGGTTTGAGTGTTTCGTCATTGATATGTCTTTCAGTTTCGCGCTTGTGCGGATTCATTGAGATTGAAACTAATCCTAACTAATGTTTTTCCCTAAATATGACTTACAGCGCAACACTCGATGTCGATGAGCTAATTTGCACCATCGACACGCTCATCACCATCTTGTTGAAACTGCTTGTTTATCTACTCATGTATTTTTTTTTATTCCTTTCTTTTTTATTTTTATGTTTGACCATTTGGAGGAATAAACTCAAAGCTCATAATTTATATCATAGTCGTAACAGTATTTAAGCAAGCTGATACTAACACTGGTTGTTAATCAGTTTAATCCGACATATTTTCAACTATTCGGGCTCGGCATTTTTACTTCACCGTCAGTAATGAGAAAATGTGTAGCTGCGCAAGCGCTGGAATGGCATTTTAGCGGTAATCGTGATCCTCTTCCATTAAGTCGAAGCTATAGGTACTGTAAAAGGCGCTCTGAGCAACTATTCTGCCACAGAAATATTGCACAGTATCAGACAAAAATGAAGGCGCACTAACGTATGTAACTTGACTGGTATCGTTTACCACTGAGTAGAGTCCTACCGATCCTTATATAAGTGATTCTTGTTCGATTAATTTTTGTGGAACTTGATACTAGGGGGTATTTTTTGAGGTAAATATAGAATTTAAAATTCGAAAATCCATGATGGCGAAAGTGGCAAAATGGTTATAATGACCCCTTCAAAATTATCAAACTTTGCAATCAAGCTTTCTTCTTGTTTCCTCGGTGTGTTATGATAACCTTTGACTGTGCTGCGTTTTACAATTTGGATCTACAATTTCTGGTCAATTTCAGGAACCAAGTATGTACCCTTGGTTTCCTCAGGCTCATACGTGTTTTTACAGATGATCCAGAAATTACAATTCCGAATCGCAAAATATAGTTCAAATGAGACTACTTACGTGGAATATTAGCCCCGGAGCAGGAGTCAATCGCCTGACGTGGACATATGACAAAATATCTAATAGGTGTCCTTCACGACTCGCTGCAAAACACAACCTGGAGACAAACAAAAAACTGGTATTTAAGATTTTCCTCATTATGACATCAAAAACTGTGGTTCATTCATACCTCTCTGCTAGCTCCTTTTTTAATTCTAGAGGCATAACATAGGCGGATCCTCGTACTCCCAAAAATAAGGAGGAAGATAACGGGAAAAAAGAAATAAGGATAGGAACGAAGGAAAGAGGCAGGAAGGACGCTTACATCTGGTAATTACTCATAACGAAATTGACTCAAGCTGCATATTAAATGCTTTAAAATTTCGAAAACTTTTGGGGGAGCCCCCTTACGCTCCCCCTTCGGAAATGTCTGGATCCACCTATGGAACGCAAGCTAGAACAATGTTACAAAATAGCCTGTGATAATGTAAGGAAGGCAAAAAGCAATTAAATGAAACCAGAAAAGGGCTGAAAATTACTATAACCCCGATATGTAATCCATCAGGTTTGACTTATTACTTTTACACTTAATTTTTTTGTCTATGTTTTCAGATTGTCAATGGTTGGATCATGAGCCACTTGTATCTGATTTTTGTGTAAATTGTTCTTAGCATCGTCTCTAGTTTTGTCTTATGCACGGTTTTTAGCTCATGTCTCTTAGAGCTAAACAGCTAGTGTTTTACTAGAGGACAAAGAATGAGAAAAATACTTACCGACCAGCGGCAAACAACGTTCCGTTTGCTGAACCAAAGGTTGATATGGTCACTGACAGCGGCATTAACCATGCCATTAGCCCAAGGATTCGATTTCCAAAAGTCTGAAAAAATTGAAGAAAATGAATGTCAATAAGGAAGTTCTCTACTCACCCAAAGAGACAAGAGGGACTGAGATAGAGAAAAATTGTGTGAGATAATTTGAAGTGAACAACTAATTACCTAACGAAATTTTACGCTTCCATTACCATTCTTAGAGAGGACCAGAGGGAGTTGTTCGTAGTAAGAATTTTAAATTTCCATATTAAAATAGACTAAAAACCGAACATTATTGATACGAGCTAAAAAGACCAAGACAAAGGAAATAGTATGGGTTTAATTCCACAAAATTCCTCCATTTTTAATTTACCGATCTCTGTCTCCCTCTCACACAAACACACACATACGTTTTCAGCGGTCCCTGTTACGCACCCCATATTATTCACCTTTTATAAATGTAGTTTCATTGATTAAATTTCTCAGATAAAGTTTTTGTATGGGACACCAAAGACTGAGTTAAAAGCAAGAGCTATACAAAATTCATGACCTGAATACTTTGGTTTCAGATAATTTTAAGTAAAATTACTTGACACTTAAATTATATTCAAAATCGGAAACTTGATTATAACCGTACAGAGAGTTAGGAAAAATAAATCATTTTGTGATCCGAACCTTTGCTCTTTCGGTAGAGATCCGTCACCCCACTTCTTCACCATAGAACATTTCACAGAAGAATTGGGTGCTAAGAGCAAGATAGATTTTATAAAAGTTAAAAAAGGACATCAAGAATTTTGACGTGGGGATCACACGCTATGCGCAACCTGGAACCAATGGAAATTACCAAACACCAAATTGCACAGCAGGGCAATGTAATCAAACAATGAATCCTTCAAACATGCATCATAGCAGCTTTGATTTCTTGACTTTTCCATGTATTTTTTGGAAGCTTCTCCCTAACTCTTCTATTTTAAGTTAAAATTTTGAAGGTTTTTGATACTTCCATACCTACGAAAAATGGAAAAGCTCATTACTTAATATTTGTATTTGAGTTCCACAGCGCAGTTTCAAAAATCTTTGAATGGTGAGGTTGTACCGTAAGTATCGATTTTGTTGTTACAAACATTTGATTTTGATTTTGTTGTACTAGACAATTTATTATAAAATACCGAGAAGATGAAGCAATGCAAACTATTAAATGACCTCAGACGAACTTCTGTATTTGTAATTTCGCGAGGCATATAATAAGAGTCTGTGGCAGTTTTAAATTCTGAGTTCCCTGCATAATACAATCTCATTTTTAACTCTAGTCTCATCAAAAACAATTGATAAAACGATAAGCAGGTCATTACCACTTCTGGCAGTTTTAGGGGTAGGTAACGGGTTTCAATTCTCATCCGAACATGCTAAAGGAGTATAAGCCTGAGGAAGTCAACCCTTTTCTCTCTCTTTTTCTCTCTCATAGCTGACTATAAGAAAATAAATCCTCATCTTTAATCTCATAATTATTTGATGAACCTCTTTACCTACATTTTTTGGCGATTTTTGAGAAAAAAAGGTTGCCAAACTTCTGCATCCAAAGTATTTCTGTATTGGAGCAAGAGTCATCGAGTGCATTGGCTGAGAGGTATATTGAATGCAGGATTGCAGGATTCTGGATAGGCATGGAATCCTAAGAAAACCTTAGCTATTTTCAAAAATTTGAAATATTACTATAGCACCTCTTTCTCTCAATAGCAAGATCCTTTAAAATGCAAACCCTTTAAAAAAGAAGTTGTCTGCTTCAATTATTTTCTTACTATCATCGAACTTCCTATGTTCGTTGGCGCCACTTGTTATTAAGAAAATTTCGCTACGACAAAAAATTGTTCGGAGCGATGGGGATCTGTTAAAGAGGAAAAGTTGTTGTGCTGCAAATTTTAAGGCACATTTTTGACAGCTTTCGGTTATTTTTCTCAATTGTCGGATCGAGAAGATTTTGATATTTATTTCCAAATTCCCTCGAATATTAGGAGGGAATTTTTTTGTACTTCTGTAAATCTATCTGTTTCTAACCATCTATTTTTCACTTTTGTTTTAAGGACGTAGTAGTTTTTCTTACGTAGGAGTAAGACGAAAAGTAACAGCTTGAAAAGCGTTCCACATTCTTATAATTCTAAATTCTGAAGTAAGTATAGAAAGAAAAAAGCTTAGGAATAGAAAAAAAGAGACTCACCACTGCGACCGCTTCCGACTCAACCATTTCAGCAGGTGACATCACAGCCAGATAAGAGAGGTTTATTAAAACATAACAGATTGTTACCAGGGGTATGCTGATCATGATTGACCGAGGAACATTCCTGCAATGCATTTCAAATACTGTTAGTTTCTCAGAAGTAATCGGACCTTGAATAAAGAGGGTTGATTCTTAACCATTAGATTATGCTCTGTTTTCCAAAAACGGTTCAGGGAAAGAAGGATGATTGATGAGGTCCGTTTTTGGGTTCATTCTAGCTGAATTTCCTCGCTTCTACGTTTTTTGCTTCGGGGGGGTTCAATTTTGCGAGGTGCATAATGATTTTGTCATTTATTGTTTCTTTTTGTGTCCAATACTGGCCTAAACATAAATCTGCGGGCCGATTTTGGCGAAAAATGCGAGTTTGCGATCGAATGCCGAAATATCCGCACTATTCGCCAAAATCGGCCCACAGATTTATGTTTAGGCCAGAATTAGACCCGAAAAGAGACCTGAAATGACTTGACCAAAATATAAGTGAACGTTGTTGAGTGATAAAGTATCAATCTCCAGCGGGCTGATTGTTGAAATTGATGGACAAAGCGATAGACAAAGATGACATTAGGAGTATGGATCGATCCTATTGGTTGAAATGGATGGTTCTTGCAGACTAAAGGAGAAATTGATGGACTAACTAACGGGTCTCTCGTGGGTCGCCGTCGGTTAGTCCATAACCTACCTTCTTTTTCCATTGCAACCACCCGCTTCTATCGATACGATCTCTCCATGTCTTTTTTGTCGTCTTTGTCTAAAGCTTTGTCTACCAATTTCAACAATGAGCCCGCAGGCATATTTTTTCCAGGAACTACTTATGTGCCATACAAAGTTAAATGTTCAATGTTGAAACAGTTTCGAAGAATTCAAAGGAAAGCCAATTCCATTTGCATAATTCTTCACAAGTCTTGTCCAAGTTGTAGCGTAAAAATGAGTGCGACACAGAGTTTCGCCCTTGTTGGGTAGAGAAAAGTCCCGAAGCAAAAAAATCAAATGGTGAAAAAATAATGAGCATTTACTTTGATGGTGATTTAATTTCTTCTGTGACATAATTCAGGTTATTCCAACCATCATACGCCCACAGACCCGTGTAAAATGCCGTCGCAAGATTGCCAACAGATGAAGTTGTTCCTTCAAACATGTTCTCCAAATTTTTCGTGTTGCCTGCGAACATAAAAATACCACGGTTCAATAGAATTACAGAACAGTGCTTCAAGTCCATATTCAACATGATAAAAAATGTATATGCTTTCACACGATAAGTTTGAACTTTTATGTCGATGGAACAAACTCTCGGAGAGTATTGTACTTCTCATAAGGGGTGTAAATACCCACATTAAGTCTCGAGGTAGGTCGGCGTTCTGGAGATTATGATTCCAACCGACTCGGAAACAGCTTCTGACTGGGATATGGAGTCATGAAGTTCACGTTCCTTCAAGACCATAGTCGTCTTACCTCCGCTTTGAAGGGGCCTTGGGGGGGGGGGGGTTTGCAATTCTGCCCTTTTTGCCATCTAAACCTTTTACGCCACACTAAGAACAAGCCTTGTAACGCACCCGTAATACAACCACCCCTCACATCTAATAACGGTCACCTGAATCGGATTTCCCTCCCCATTTTCCGAATAAAAGGGGCAACAGCAAAATTCAGAGCTGGAAAATATTTCGATTTTTAGCACGGTGACAAAGCGGGTCGCTTACAACTCCTACCCCCCCCCCCCAAACCCCACCACAAGTGAGGTGCGTATACGTGAACGGTATCTGGTGCTAATTCTGCTCCGTCTAAAATTTCCGTCTAAAATTTCCGTTAAAATTCCTTGACCAGGGTCAACATTTTCTGACTTCACCTCGTCCTTCCCGGTTTGGTTGGTGATTCGATGGCATTTCCTGCTCTCCGCGACGCTAGCAATCCTGCGAATACCACCCAGGAAACGCGGGAGGGGCGCCCGTTCCCAGGGCGAAAGAACGGAAACGCGGAAGGTGACTCGTACGGGGGTGGGAATGGGCGTAGCGTAGGGGGCGAGGGTGGCACTGGGGCGGAGGGTTGTTTGCAAAATCGATAATGGGATCAGGACGTTAGATTGAGAACAGTCGCGGGCATCCCGGCTGGAGTGGCGTCCGGGAAGGGGGCAAAGGGGGAGGAGGCGGGAGGGGGAGTCGCCCCCCGTTCCAGTGTTCTTCGGCTGTGCGCGCGCCCTTGACCTTCAACCCCCCCCCCCCCCGCCCCCGCTGCCATTTCTCCTCCGATTGTGTTCCAGTTGCTGTGAAAATTAAGCCGCGACATTTTAATGAACGACTCGCCGTGACGTCATAGAAGTCCCGGTTTCGAGGTTCGCGCCAAAGTTGAAGCGCAGCGCTCTCTGGTGGGATTTCCGGGAACGCACGGAGTCTCTTGGGTGAAACATTTTGAGAATTTACCTTTCGGGAAATTCAGCACCTTTTTAGATCCTTCATGACTTCGTGACCGTCCGAGGGATCTTCGTCTACGGGGGTTAATTTTCAGCAGAGCGATCTTTGTCGAGCAAAGAGACGAATTTTAAGTATTCAACGCTTGACTCTCTTTTATGTCCGAAAAATAAGTTACGAGTGTGGTTTGGTTCATTTTTGTGTCAAAAAAGGGGGTGTATCTAAAGATGATTTGCTTTGAACATGGTATTGGTAGGTATACTAATATTTTAAACGGGTTTCTCTAGAAACTTAGTTTTTTACTCAGTGACGTCAAACCACCATAATCATGGTTTTGTTATACGATTTTTCCCCCGGAATAGAGAAGAGAGAGAGGAATGAGAACAAAAAGAAGGGGATTGAGAAGTAGAAGAAAAATGGGGAGAGAAAGGAAGATAAGAAGACAAAACCCGTTAAATACACTGATATTTGATCTTCATCGTAAATTGGCTGAGTATTCAGGTGATGATGTTTGGACGAAATCATTTTGCAGACATGCGTTACTTTCCATTTTTGTGTGGTTTTTTGGGTAGAGCCTTTTGCTTCGACTAAAAACGTCAAAGCGAGGCAAAGTTTCATTTCGAAAAAAAAAAAATCCTGGGTGGTATGACATTCAAGGCTATGATCTAGCTCAATGCACATTTAGTAGCCTGTTTCTCCTCTTTCTGCTAAACTTTTTATTTCCTCTTTCTTTTTTCCAACATTTTGTGAGGTACTTATAATAAAGTCATTCAAATCTGCCGAGAGTTGCTCGTGACATATGGGTTTATAGTGTCAAAAAAGCAACATGAAATACAGCGAGAGTTCTTCAATCAATGAAGCGAGCTATTCAAAGCAATGAGTCAACCTAGAAATCGAGGAACGTGCACTTGGAAGCAGTCTGCAAACGATGAAAAATCGCCTTCAAGTTCGGTTGATACCATCAGCACAACAAAACTGCTCGATAAGTCGTATTCAGCATAGCGACACGGCGCTTGGCGCGGAGATGGTGTGCTGACTCGCATGGCTTTCATCAATTGCGCAAAAATGGTAGATACTTTGAATGGTTGATGGGTTTGTTACTAAAATCACAACAAAAGGAGCCAACCTCTGAATCGCTTATCATCATAATAAGTTCGTATCACGGCGGCATGTATTTCCTTACGAACTTGCAATAATGAAAACCTCAAAACTTAAAGTCGAAGTGACGGGAATCCCGGACTCGCCGCCCACCGTTTTCCGGGCCGGAGTCACCGAGAACTTGAACTTAACGTGACCGAAGCACGAGTTCTCAAGTGCAAAGTCGTAAACTACCGACACGCCATTTGGCGTGCCGTGACTTCCATCGGCGTGTATCACGGAGGGGCGACACTTAAGACACGGATATCGTGGACGGGGTGGCGCTAACCATACTTTCGCCCTGGTCGCCCTTGCATTCAGATTCTACACCTACGTCTGGCACTTTGACGCCTTTGCAAGTTGAAGACTCGTTAAGAGCGCCATCTCGGGGGCGGTCACGGAAACCTGAGCTGGTGGATTGAGACGACTTTCATGAAAGTGTCATACAAAAATAGGATAAGAGGAACACGGATGAAACCTCGCATTCATTGTCGGGCGGGGACACAGTAACGGGTTGATTGCTGACATTAATAGACAAAGCGATGGACGAGGAAGACATAGAGAGTATGGAGCGACCCTGTTATTTGAAATGGTTGCGGTTCCTATTGACAAAGGGAGAAAACGATGGACGAACTACAGGGTATCTCGTGGGTTGCCGTTAGATAGTCTATTACCTACCTTCTTTGTCCATTGCAACCGCTCGCTTCTACCAATAGGATCCCTCCATACCCCTCTCGTTTTCTTTGCCTATGGCTTTGTCTGCCAATTTTAAAAATCAACCCGCTAGGCACCTCATGAAGATTACGACAGGAAGTCTGTAACGTAGCAAACAGAGATACGTGTTTTTTGGGAGTTTTGCTGTCGATTTTATTTTCGATTGATCTTAAACATCATCTCTGAGAGCATTTCTATATGTAAGTTTTTGAAATGGTAAGGAAAAATTACGGATAATTTTGCAAACTAACAGTCACACGCATTCGTTTTTAACTGCTCAGCTTACATGGAGCACATTTACGGGAACTCCTTGAAAGTTACGACCCATAGACTTTCACAATCAAGCTTTCCACCTCCAGAGCATTACATCGTACACTTTGGGTTCGGCGAAGTGTGGTTGTGCGAAAGTCAGGCCCAGGAAGTTCACCTCTCACCGGTAGATTACCCATCACGAAAGGCGCCCCGCCAAAACTCAACCTTCCATTCATCAACCGTGTCACGTCCGCAAATTTCCGCCTTTTCCCACCCCTCGTCCCCGCCTCAATCAAACCTTTTGCGAACGCCACTTCCCTGCTTTCTCAACTCGTTTATGCGTGACGCTCTCATTCCACAACGTCACGGCTTCCGCCTTAGGATCCGATTGAACTTCCGGCTCACAGTGGATCGAGTCAATGACAGAGGTCGGACATGATTCAAAAACTTTAAAAGGGTATATCTACATGAATATGAAATTTAGATGTTTTAAAAGTAGTTTCATCGGTTTTCTCGTAGAATTTTCTGTAGAAAGCACCCCTCAAAATTGAAATTAAGCCGAGATAAACGTAAAATTTTACAATTTTTGTCAAAAATTTCGTGTCCAACTTCTTCCAAAGACTCGTTCCATTGAGCGGCCTACTTTCCCGCTTGGCCTTGGAACTGTGAACATCAGGCATCATTTGAAGCGTACAGGACCAAAAGAGCACAAGAACACTTTCTGACGGAATTGAGGTATTGGATGGATGAATATTACTTTCTAAGTATGTGCATTACGTATTAGATGTTTTGGAAGTTCGCATGGTGCAGGGAAAAATAATAATCTTCCGAACGACCGTAGAAAAACAGTCAATTGTTGTAAAATTTGAGGACTTCCAGGTACATTAAGGCAATTTCCCAATCTCAATTAGGACATTTAAAGACGTAAAAATTTGAAAAATATTTAAATTTACTCAAAGATTTTTCAAGGCGTTGCAAACAAACATGCAAAATGAAGAATCGAGGAATGAAATTACAAATTGCTAAGAAGTGGACATTCATTTGCCATGAAATTCCAACCGTTTTCAAAGGGCTGCGTATAGTAACAGTAACAATAATTATCCGGAAATTTCATAAGATATTCCGCAATTCCACTCATTATTCTTTATTCAAAAGCTCAAAATTAAATCTTACAGTTTCCGTGCATCTCATGGCATGATGAGTCCATTGCAGGGATTTCAAATAATTTAATGGTATAGTTGACGATTATGTTTTCATGATTTAATGAGGCTCATCATAGTCATTTTCATTTTATAAATTTTCGGAGAACTCAGCATCTCTGACTACGAACCCTGCTGGCGTCAATTTTGGGGTCAAGGATATGGCAGTATGGCACACGCGTAAAATCACAAGGACGGCAGAATCCACGATCAGCTTGATCATAGCTTAACTACATTTAGCTTTGTCTAAATTTCTTTCACGTTTATTTTTTCAACCAAAAAAAACCAACATTCGGCCACCTGCCTGACTCAGCCCCTCTCAAACGTTCCTATAAAGTTAGTGTAATTATTCTAACAGCTCCTACTTTCTTCCGACTGATGGAAAATGTTAAGAAATTCGGGGATTGCTCTCGTATTTGCCCGTGTCAAAGACCTCATAAATCATTGCGTATTTGCTCGGTTGGGCTTGTTTTCCTTGGAGAAGCGAAACTAGGACAGAGGAGGGAGTCAATGTGCTTCGCGAGCTTCGAAAGGAGATCGGTTATGTAGTTTCGCGTCTATAATAGAGTAAATAGCCTATGAAATAGATTTGCTCATCGTACTGGAAGCTCGCTTTTCCCCACTCTCTCCCACCCTCCTACTCGCAATCCTTCACTCAATCCATTATCCTCTCTTTCGCCCTTTAAAAGCACCCTGCCATTAATGGCAAGAAGATGACTGGCTTTTTGGTCTTGCCCTTTGAGGAAGGCAGGCTGGGCAATGGTTCACTGGACATATAGATAGATAAGAGTATTAGACAGGGTACGAATTTAGCATTCCTCCGAACGTTTTCCTTTCAAAATATGGCGCAGAAAATGATATACGCAAAGGGGGGTGCGAAAATTAACCCCTAAAGAGGATTTAAGTATTTAAAATGGAAATTGGTTAAATGGCATAACGATAAATTTCAAGCAGGACACGTAACTCACCTTTCATAAGCTGATATAAACCTCCTACGATGATGATGAGAATAGCAAACAACTTAGCGGCGGTAAACGTGTTCTGCACACCGGTGGCTAAATTGACGCTATAGCAGTTTACCACCAATATTACCACTGAAACAGAGAATCGAGCAGAAGATTAATGAACAGTAGGAATTTTTCTTTATGTCAAGCTACCACTCTACAATATTTCTATTGTAATATGGAGTCCAATAAAAATGTTCTTCAAGGCTACATCCTAATTAAAAATTATCATTTTATGATACCAATATTCTATTCGGATGTAGATTTTGGCGATGACACGTAGTTCTGACACAGGAATTAGGTTTAATCTAATCGCCAACTGTCCAACATAACAGCGGATCACCCCTATCGTTCTTTTGGTTCTGGAAACTACACCTTGCGGCGCGCACGTAATTTGCCTTCATTTAGACTAAATAGGCAAAATTTTATCCTGCTGTTGTATTCTTAGGGATGCGTTAGGCGATTTCCACGCTTTTTTCTATTTTGAGAATATTAAATCCATGCATTTGATGGTCTCAGTGCAGTATTTGTATGTTTTTACAATTTGAAAAATTATACCCATAAAAACGAAAATTACTAACAATAAGGGTAAAGTAGGACGATTTTGTAAATTTGTAAAATTGATAAATTTTGAAGAAAACTGAACGGGGGGATCTATTGATCGATTCATTGACATACACAAATTTAAGTGAAAGATACCGCGATGAGTCATCATACAGCAAATTTTCCAATTTTCGAAGCTCTCTTTCGGTAATTTCCTACTTCAGACCGAAAATATTGTAACATTTTATGCAAGAGAACCTCCCTGTTATGCAACACTGCCGATTGTGTACTTTTACTTTAAAATTGCACTGGTTCTTTTGAAATCATGCCCTGAATGAGCTCCTAAAATTTTGACTAATTTGTTTGAAAACATCTTCCCTGCATATACATCAGATTTGATGAAATATATGGCTAAAAATTTGCACAACCTTAGCAGGAATGCCTGACAGATAAGCCCCTCTTGCATACAATGCGTCAATTCGTCGCTGCTCTGACGTAAGGACGTATGTCGATTTCCACGTGAGCCCTGATCTGTGTATAGCTCTATGCTTTCCAGGGCTCATGTGGGAATAGAGATACGCCCTTACGTTAAAGGAGCGAGGAGTGATGAGAGCGGCTGGACTTAGTTTAGGCGTCCCGATTCGGCCCAACAGAATGCTCTCGCGTAAATCATCCATTCATCGCAATGAATTACTCACTGTGCGATCCCGAGCGGAACTCTAAAAAATCCATACAAGACCCGAACCTACCTCAAATATATAGTAATGAACGGGAAAAAAGCCGATTCGTCGAAGATGCCAGAAATTCCTCCCGTGAAAGTCGCGTCGGGTATTTTCCGATTACTCTCGGTTTATTTACTTAATTCGAATTTTGGCAGAGGCGTCGTTACACGTCTTTAGTCGGCGGATAGTTTACATGTCGTCGTTGTTGTCGAGGAACGCCATGCCACGAGCATTGTAGCGCGCCATTTGGCAAGCGTCGAGCTGCGTTGCCACAGAGTATGCAAAGGTAAAGGCTCACATGAATGGAGACGAATTGGAACCTTGGGTGATCGGAGCGATCTTGGTGGTCCATGGCTCAACTAATCATTTTCTAGGGTAAGTTCCAAGTTTTGGATTGAGTACCACCTGGGAAATGGCGACGGGTCGACGTCTCATGCACGAGAGATGGCGCAGGGCGTTGACGAAGGGATGTCGCGTTGTCAGTTGCCCGATAACCTTTAAGAAGATAGGTACATAAGGGGTTTGGCTGTCGCAGAGCACCAGAATGCGTTGTAGGAGCGGCCTATATGTATGTGAGTTGCGTAGCAGAACATGATTAGGTATTAGGTATATATGAACGACTGAAGATACACCAAACGCGAATTGTCGCGGAATTTGTGAGATTTCTTTTCATCTTCGATTTGCTAGTTGGTCGTATCAGGAACAAAAGAGGACATCCACTAACTGAAAATTTTGAAATCGCTTCTGTAGATGAACGCGATCGAGAGTGATATGTCCTCTTGGAATTCGAAACTCCCTGAACTGTCTCTAATTTTTCATGGATTTTGAACATAAAACTACCTGACTTCTCAAATTTTTGGCATGATTTTTGAAAAAAATATTCCGAAGTCTCTTAAAATTGAAGAAAATTAATGGTTTGGTTGGGAAACCAAATTTAAGGGTCCCCCAACATAATTCCCTGACTTCACAAGAGCTTGTTACCCTTAAACATTGAACTGTTGTAATCGGTGACAATGAATTTCAACGCTTGTTCAATAATGGCACCTAAAACGCTCCCTTCTGAAAATTCTATGCACTCGTCACGTAGATTCGCATATACCCTTCCCACTCAAATTCGGCCGCCATATTTTTCGTAAAAAATCGGTTTTTTGGTCAATATTTTAACAAAATTATTGTCACTCCGAACGGATTTTGGGCGACCTAAAGTATTAGACCCCTCCTTCATCCCTCATGCTTTCAACCACCGTCCATCCAAAAGGGGGAACAAGACGTGACAAGTCGGTGAAAATGCCACCTGCAAAACGGCTTCTATGCATAAATGGACCGCCTTAAACACAGCCTTAGGTATTGTATCTCCTCCGATAATTGTGAAATTTATGAGCCAACGATATCTCGTGTTGAATTCATTCAGAAGTTTTCACTTTTAAACACGAAAGTGATCTAATCTCAGACACCTGCGAAGTCTTCATTCACAAAGTGAACTACTCGATCGTGAAAATCCGCCTGATATCCGATCTGATTCTACGATTGGCACGGCCTGGCGCGAAGGCGGGGGTGAGTTTGGCATCGCGGGCGTGCGATCTTGTGACCCCGCGAATTGATGCGAGGTAATTAATCTGGATCGAGCGGCTCTGTTTACATCTCGCCCGGCCCGGCGCGGAAGAAGACGAAAACGTGCGAATTTACATGATTTGCGCTCCGGACAATACGCGAGTTTATTACGTGGGAAGTAGCCAAATTGACGGAAACATCTTTCTAGTCTCTTTTTGAGGGAAACAAAAGACTTCTGACGAAACATCGGCTAAAATAGTCGGAGTACCGGGATTCCATATCGGTGGCGTGGCGTGCTTTGCGATCTATCGATATTTCCCCATTTGAAGCTGTGGTAAATTATCGATTATTAAGGTGTTCGCTGCGAACACCCTGTTTATCGATACTTTTCCATAGGTTTAAATGACCGATCAATCGATAAATCGCAAAGCACGCCACTCCACTGTTTCATATCGTACACGTGAATGAGAAATAGCTACGCTCTGAACATTGGATACAAATAAAGACGTAGTGGCGTGGCGTTCTCTGCGATATTCCGATTGAAATACCGTTGAAATCCATAGAAAAGGATTGATAAACATGGCTTTCACAGCAAACATCTTAATAATCGAATCTTTACCATTGCTTCCAATGAGGAAATTTTAAAAATCGATCATTCACGCCGCAATGTAAAGACCCGCCCCTATTCCCCTGATGGTGACAGCGATGGAAACGGGAAACTGTATAGATTTCTGAACTATATTGCTGAAGCCTTGACAATAATATCCTAGCTAGCAGTTGAGCAACTCATTCAGCAACTTATTGAGCAACTGTGGAACTCATTGGGCTAGAGCTCACGCTAAATAATTTTACGCACTTTTAGACTGCGACAGTAGATCGTCTAACGCCACTTTTACATGTAAAGTAAGAAATGCAAAGTAAGAACAGGAGTAATAAGTTTTACATGTAAATAATGAAGAATCAAGGTGGCAGATCGTCTGTCGCAGTCTAAAATAAAAGTGCGTAAACTTATTTGGCGTGGACTCCACCTATAAAGCAATTCGTTTGGCGAAGAATAAGGGTAAAGTTTCTTCATTATCTATCATGTTGGTATACTCCTTAGGTATTAGGTAATTCAGTGAGTTATTTTCCTTGAGATTGATCAAAGAATTAGAGACTTAAAATACATGTTTTCATTACTCTTTAACTACATTGTTTTGGCAGGCTTTTCCGCTTCCGCCATCCTCAGACAACTTAACGGGTGTGGAACTTGCCAAAACAATGTGATCATCAATATTACATAAAAGTGTACTGAAAAGTAACAATTCTTCGGTTAATATCCACGAAGTTCACCACCTAAATGATCTATCAATGGAAAAAATGTATACAAGTATCTTAACTTTGTTTTTTGCATAAATATGTTCAGCCAAAAAAAAAGCCACCTTGCCTTTTTGCCCCTCATAAAAATCGGCTAAAACCCCGAAGGTGAAAGTTTGCATAAACTTTGCGCTAAATCGGTGAAACTCCAATTTGAAGAACCTACTGCAATTTTTGCCTAAAAAGTGTATAGTGTTTTTACTGGTTTTTATTTTACATTTTTTTAAAAAATAAAATTACAGACATGAATTTTAATCTATAATGGCATGTGTGTATGCTTCTTTTTTATTTTTTTTTTAATTTTATAAATTATCGGCGAAATTGAAAAATCTACGCAACGTCTTTCCTGCAAAGAATGTCTTGCTTCCATTGAGAGGCGCCGTGCTTTTCAGTCGCACATGTAACTCAGTGATGAAAAAAAACCTTCCTCACATTTATTTATTATTTTTATTCGAGTCTGATGATTGGGTGTAGGGGGGGGGGTGTTTCTACAAGAAACCCAAGTCGCCATAAATCAATTTTCGTTTCGTTTTTGAAAAATAAACAACTGCGACACATTTTAATCGACGTGAAGCCGGATCAGCCTGCGTTTTTACAATAAAATTTCCACCGATAAAGTTCCCCCGTTCCAAGTTCCTTGACCTATCAGCGATAGAAAAACTCCATTGTTGACTGTTATTCTCGACGGGTTCCCGTCGGCAGTTTGGCACGCCGAACATGACGACCGCCACCGCACCGATGACGTCTGCTCAAACGAAAACGAGCGAGGTGAGTGACCGCATAATTTTTACTCCCACTATCAACGTCATCATACATAGGCAGACGGACACCCTTGGGCATGATACGTAAAAACGTCACAGAGAGAGAATAAATGCACGATGCATCGGGGCAAAACAAGCCTTAAGATGGGGGGATAAGATAAGTGGACCGCGCTGAGCAGAAAGGAGCCAAGCCACATCAGTTACTGCCAAATTTAATTGAGCACTTAAATTTTTTACATGAAAACGGTTGCGCTAATTTTGGTGAAAATTCTTCAGCATAGTTTGAAGCAAATTCTTCAAAATTTTCAAAAGAATACACACAAATGGATTGCATTTTGCAAAAAGGAACCACTAGCATTGCAATGATGCTAAGATTGTGCAACTTCATCCTTTGAAATAAAATTGCAGAAATTGTGAAAAACTATGAAATTTAGATGGTAATATTTGTCTTAAATTTACACTTTTTAGCGGCGAGTAAAATAGAAACTATTAAGGGATAATCGGGTTTTTCCTCCAAGACAAAAGAAGTTGCACAATCTTAGCAACATTGCAATGCTAGTGGTTCTTTTTTGCAAAATGCAATCCAAATGTTCTCTCGTAAAAAATTAAATTGCCTAATTGTACATGGCGACAGCGAATGTGACTTACTTTCTTTTTACTGAACGCAATCCAAAATGTATCGCGATTAGGGGGGTTGATTTCGCATCATTGGGCGCCAGGATCAGCCAAAAATCAATATACTGGCAGGAATTAAAAGTTCGAGGACAAAAAACAAGGAATCCAAGACTACCGCTGTTACAGCTGACCGACGCTGTTGCCAGTCCTCCGGAGGAATCTTAGTCCCCGACAACGGTCTCATCTGGGGAGCCTTTTTTTGCCTGGAATTTTATACGAATTTTATATGGAATTTTATATTTTTTTATCGTGTTTCTCGCGAAATTTTATACAACGGAGAGGGAGAGAGTATTTAAATTGCGCATTTACTATTTTCTATATTAAACGAGTACGTTATTGCTCTGACAAAAAACGATGAAAACATCGGGAATGATACATTTTCTTCGCCAAAATTGTATACATGTATGTCACTGAAATACTCCGTTGGAATAAAAGGTTTCTTGCCCATGCTTTTAATTTTCCAGAGGCCTTCTTACGGCTTTTGGTCCGTTGACATTGACCGATCGTTGGCGGGATTCCAAGTCAAAACTTTACGAAAAAGGCTTGGCGTAAAACTAACGGCACAAGGGCGCGACGGATCGAATCCAGTGGGGTAGCGTGCTTTGCAATATATCGATTGATCTGTCATTTAAACCCATGGAAAAGGATCGATAAACAGGGTTTTCGTTGCGAACACCTTAATAATCGATTCTTCACCCCAGTTTCAAAAGGAAAAATATCGATAATCCATCATTCACGCCTTGCCACAGATCGAATCAATCATTCAATATTTGTCACGCAGCTAATCCTGAAACCATGTTCGAATGAGACGTGAATCGATCGTTCAAGGGGAAATTAAATTATCGACTCAATCGTTCTAACGTTACATTCAGGGATAAAACAGGGATCGGATACTGCCCCAAGTTTGGACGGAGAGAAATGCAAACGAATCACTTTTAGCCATACGTTCATCAATTTAACCTCCTGGAATAACCGCGTTACACGTTCAAAAGAAGAATATGTCCGCACCATGCATTTTAATTTACGTGCAAGAATATGCCTTGTCCTTTCAATATTGCGTTTATACAGTATATGTAGATTTCCCTTAAAAATGAGTAGTTGTATCAAGGCGTCAACTAGTTGTGTGTGAGTAAGTGAAATGCCTTCAATTTTGCGTGGATTCAACATGGATTTCCACTCAGCAGGAATTGTTTCATCAAGGCGTTAGCTCGTTGTTTAAAATATCCAAATTACCTTGTATTTTACGCGTATGCAATATGGATTTCCATCAAGCCTGAATAGCTGCATCCATCGTTAGTGCGTTGTGTGAGAAAATCTCAAATGCCTTCATTTTTGAGTATATGCAACACGGACATCCACTAAGCACGAATAGTTGCATCAAGGCGTTAACGTGGTAGCAGTTTGTACTTACGTATTGTGAGGACGGAGACGAGTTTGACGGAGAGCTCTGGGGGCTCGCACTCGTCGACGAAGGCCTCGACGGCGTACTTGGCGAAGCTGAGACAGATGATGGACATCTGCGAGGGCTTGAGCACCAGCGTGGAGACCCACGAGAAGAGGAATGCAGGGATCGGGCCGAACGCGTCCATGAAGTAAGCGTACTCGGCCCCGTTGCTCGGGTTCATCGTCCCCAGCTCCGCATAGGCCAGCGCCCCTGGACACAACATCAGAGCATCGTCAAAAACATCGTGACAACATCAAAAAGTCGTCAAAAACATCGTAAAAGTATCAGAACATCGTCAAAAACGGTAATCCAGGATTGAGCGAAAGGTCTAAAGCGTCCAGCCCACCTTCAAACTAGGGGCTTCAAAGAGGCTCATTGATGGAATTTTTGACCGTTGCCTTTCAAAGATCGTCGGCTTGACGATCTTTGAAGGTAATCGATGTGTTCGAGATACATCACAGATAAGATCTTGAAATTTTCAATGAATTCCGTGCAGAAATGGCTGAGAAATAGAAGAATTGGTGCCAGTTTGAGAGCCCCAGTGTGTAAGTGGGCTGGACGCTTAAGAAAATATATGAGGATTGCGAGAAAAAGGCACAAGGATTAAGCAAATAGGAGCCTTAACATCTGAAACAGGAATGCGCGAATTTAAAATGAAGTTAACTCAAGGTAGAAGTTTGGCAAAACAGGAAACAGTTGGAAAATAAACACATTTTTATGTTAATGCTAGTTCAGGTTAGTTTGTTGACAAGTCATCGATGTCTTACATTCTGATGATAAATGAAGTGAAAAGGTTTGAATAATGGTCGTGGGTAGAAAGCACTCTTCCAACTTTTCTGGGGAAAAATTTTTAATCGGGAGAAACGAGGCGACGTTGGAATGCTCATACGGCGTCGATCACAACATGGGCCTTTTGAGCTCTATTATTCGATGCTGTGATTATTATTCGAGCGCGAGTTCGAGTAATCGCTTCAAACACAGTGCGGCCGGCGTTAAGCATATATTAGTGCCTGCAAGACTGTGTGAATACTTCACGCATTGTGCCAATCAGCGCGGTCGGCGTAAAGCCCACATTAGCGCCTACAAGACTGCATGGATACTTCTCGCATTGCGAAAAATGCCTAAAGAGTGCGTAACGTAAATTAAGGACGGCTTTTCATGTATGTATGTGCCAGACTTTATGGACCCGTTTTTGCCAAAATTTTACTCACATGTGTTCGATACCTCGATCTTTGCTTATTCCCAAAATAGTTTCAGCTTACACGGGAAAAACAATTTAGAAAAAGTTCAGTCATCGCTTGTCTAGTTTACAGAATTGACAATGGGTCTACGTTCGAGCGAACTGACCGTTTCAGTTCCCGGGACTGAAAAACTTTTTTTCATACGGCACATGTTCTATATCGACCGAGGTATGTTCAGTTCGGTGAATCGAACTTCAATAATTATAGGAAAATCAATTATAAAGCTTTATGCTGAATTTTTAACGCACGTTGGCAAAAAAACTCCAACATATGTAAAATCAATTATCTTCAATTCACCTTTAGTTCACAGAACTGAGGTTCAGTTCTGTGTGCTGAAGCGGTCACTTCACTCCACTGAATGCTCAGTTCTCTGAACTTAACCTAACGCCTTGTGAACAATTCGGTTTGTATAGCTGAAGTTTTTTCTCTATGATATAACTCACTCTACGGAGAACTTTGTCAGTTATGACTCTTTTGTTCAGTTTTACAATATCACGTGACCAGCAGCCCGAATACTGCAGAGATTGCATAATAGAGAGCATAAACAATGAGATTATCCATCCATGGTGGCATAAAGCAGCCCCGCAGTTTCATTATCCCGTCCCTCGTATCCGCGTTTTTCATGAAAATTTCTGACACTTGTAGCGAGTTCTGACGGAGAAGCCTGACAAAAGCCTGGCTGTGACAGTCAGAAACGCAACTCAAGATTAGAAGAGGCCCTCTCATCCATGTAAAGTGATTCTTATTTTTGGTCTTGCTATATGTTTTAACTGCCCGAATAATAATTAACCCACTTCATAGTTCAGGTTTCGTCCGGAATCAAAGACTTGCGGCTTGCGGGTCTAGATACGTTTCTGCTGAAATTCGAAGGGTGAAACAACCAAACCGCGTATCGCGTTTACGGTTTTTAAAAATCCCTGCTTCCATTTTATTTTTTTAAAAGGGACCGAATCAATTCCATTCCTTGAATTTTTTTACAGAGTTTTTTTCACACAGAGAAGAAACATCCAGTCATAAGCTGTGCCTTTGCTTTTTGGCCTAACTGATAAAATTGAAGGCGGAACTGATGAGAGCATGACACAACGAGGACGGATAAAATGATGCGCATATATTTTCGTAGGTTAGGTTGAAGACAATCTCACGTGACAAAACAGTTGCGTGCGATATTGTACAACTAAAAGTAGGTAAAACACAAAAAACACGCAGCATATAACGCAGCATCATTATTGTTTGTAAAGTTTGGCTAAAATTTAAGACTCTTAGTCGAAATAGTTCACGTTAATCCCCGAAAGTCACCGGTGTCCATGGGTTAGATAGCGAATGCGTAGTTTCTAGGATATTAAGTGTCTGCGATCGCACCCACTCAACTTCAGAGATACACGAGACAGAAACAAATTAGACTTGGAGTAATTACTTTTAATTCTCTCGGCTAAAGTACTTACTCGCGTCCAATTAGGAAGAAACAGTTCGTGTGAGTGACAGATCCTAAGTCAGCAGTATCCACCTTGTCAAATTCTTCGCTCCTGATATTATGTTGGCTTAATGGCTTCAATCTTAACGGGGCCCACAGCCAAATCGTTATTTCATAGACATTACGAGAATTCTCACTGCATTTTTTGAATAACTCTGTCAAATGGACGGTATAAGGGAGAGTTTTATCTACTTTCAGTGGCGTTTTCTCACTTGAAATTGAAAGAGAAAATAATAGACACAGAGGAAATACGAGGGTCACGCACATTTATATTGCTATTTTGCCTTCAATTTTCGAGGTAGGCAAAAAACATCCGCAGTGTAACAATATCGATCAATTTGAGGATATTGATCTTAGGTTGTCGGGGGGATGTATGCATAGGTTGATCTTAGGTTGTAATCTTGCCCGAAGAAAAGGCTTATTCGACTTCACCTTACGATTTTTATGCTATCCTCATTTTCCTAATCAAGCCTCTATAATTGATGATAAATTGTTTTGCATTTTGCAAAAAGGAACCAAGAGCATTCCAATGTTACTGGGATTGTGCAACTTACACTCTTCGCATAAAATTACCTGAATCTTGCTAAAAGTTAAATTTACAAAGGTGATTTTCGTCTTGAATTTATATGGTTTATATTTTCAGTGAAGATGAATCTTGTTTAAATGAGCAGTTCATATTTTCTGCGTGAAAAAAATTGCACAATTTTAGCGACTTTGGAATGCTTTTGGTTTCTTCTCGCAATATGCAGTCCAATTATACAATGTAAAAATAATGTTTCACTCTCCCATTTCCTCAGAGAAGCAGTACTTCCGGAGTAAATGAGCGAAAACAGCGCCGTCTATGTTCTGGCAAGGTTTCGGTCTGTCGATTGTCAGACAATGCAATTTTCATGATTCATGGTGGAGGGCCGTTAAATTTCGTTGCTTAACAAATAGTTCTCGCGTTCACACACTATACTTTAGAACCCAAACGAAAGGAAAGATTTATTCAGGGCCTTGAACCACTCTGTTTTAAGTTTTATTTTTTAACTACTTGAGCGTCGATGAATATACTCTTTAGGCTCCCACAAGCGTGCTACTCCTCCCGACATTTTAAGGATCGAAGAGTAATGGACGTTCGGGTTTAACAACGAGTAGCTGCTCGTTAGACTTTCGGAAGAGCATTATTCGTGTCCAACGCGATGACAGTCATTACGTAGCTCACTCATTACCCTGACATGAATGCATGCTACATTTAATTTCTCCGAGACAGAATGGTTTGTCGCGATGCGATGCTCCATAAATTTCGAATTTTCACATGGGACGAAATTCGTTTACTGGCGTGGCTTCGCGGATACGTCTTTGGCAAATTTTACGAGCAACAGTTTAATCATCATCGGCTGAGCTTGAATCTCTTTTGCAAGGCTGTGGTGATCCTCATACATCTTGGGAAAGCATTGTTATCCTTTTGAGAGTGAATAACTTATGGCCAAACTACGCCTCGGAGGCTTTCAAAGATATTCCAAATCGATATAAGTTCTCGAGGAGATTCTTAAAATTTCCGCCTTAATGCTATCAGTGGCGCAAATCTCTCTCATCCTTTCTTCCGAAGGACTCCGAGAGGGGAGTTGGAAGAGTTTGTACGCTGTCAAAGCAAAAGGCGCTAAATTCCAGCGCGATAACCCTGGTCGATTTTAGAATCGTAATCAAATGACCATTTCCCTATCTTATTAATGCTGTATATCGATCAACATAATTCGATAAAGATTCGACAATACTGGCGCCGGCGGGAAAAGGCCACTTGTAGGTCGCGGAATAGGGGCACCATTCTGCTCCACATTTTTCTGTTTCATTTTCTCTCCCAATTTTCCGCAAGTCACGACTACGGACCTCAAGGAGGTCAGCTCGGTTATAAACTCAATTTATTTTGTTTTTATCTCAAAACTTCTCCACGCTAAACAACCCCCTCCCCTCCCGCAGCTCCGCCGCAACATCACTTCGATTGTAGCCTCCTCCCAAATTGTGACGTGCTACGAAAAAAAGCCCTATGAACATTCGGACGATGATAAATTTCCTATGATATAAGAAGCAAACTTTTGTGGTCGAATTCTGGCTTTTTTCCTTTCTCCTTTTTGGAGAATTTCAGTCTCAATTTAATACAGCACATTTGAAGTTTTCGAAGGAAAATATTCATACCATTACTAGAAAATAAATATACTTTATCGGTAGAAATTTGACAACATTTGAATGGTCTTACGGTGTTCTTTCTGGGAACGGCAAAATTGGCCCACGAGCTGTGCGCCATTCAATGAGCCGTATCATTCTCTTAACAATTTGTTTTATTTATTAACACTGATAAATTAATTTCCTCGTTCTTGCCTCGCCTGTGTGTTTCCAGAGGCGATTTTTCAGTCTCGCAAAGAGACAGTGCTTTCTTTTCTCGATTTGAATCGATTATAATTAATCGGTCCTTGGGTGAGGCCGATTGATTCGATAAATATCGATTGTTTTACTTACAC